ACCATTTGAACTCCAGTAATCCTAAGGTCTGTAAACTTTCTTTCATGAAAGCTTTGCTCTCCACCTGTGATTTTCTCACTCCTGAAGTCTTTGGTTCTTCAAATTAGAGTGTTTGGAAATAAAATAACACTTACCAGTTTCTTGAGACTTGTAGAATATTACATGCATCTGTTGTATCCCATATATAGCAAAATAATATTTAGATAAGGTTTCCGAGATAGATATATGTACTAGCCAATTGTCCGTCAAGAATGATAGGGGTGGAGAGGGACGGAGCTGGGATGGAGTGCCACCATCTAACGGCCCATGCTGCTGCTCTTCCGCCTCTTGCAAGGACTGCGGAGCAGTCCTCGGTGTGGCTTTAGAATCGTGGTTGTGCTCCCCCATGCTTGGAGCACTCCGATTGGCTGTTTGTGTCAGCCAGTCAGAGGGTGAATAAAATGTTACGGACAAACAGATTTAGGCTTTTATAATATTAGAATAGTGTTAACTGTTATATGATAGGTGAAGGTTTTCTTCTTTATACCCAAAAGTATTAGGGACGTGGCCAGTCCGCAGAGGGAGCCAGAACAAGATGTGGACAGTGTGCAGAGCCCATTATTAGGAGAAAAATTGTCTGAAAATTGCAATTTCTCCCAAACTATTTTGGATCAAAGTGGTAAGTGTTTAGATGATTAGTGAGTACATTTTGAGAATTTGAAAGCAAACTTAAACATCTGTAAAGAAGACTAGTTAAATGGAGGTTTAATCTTATAATATATGGCACTTAATATATTGCCTTTCACAAAATAAAAATTGCCCAGAGTGCATAGAAAAATGAATGCAAAATTTTGGTATAAAGAACTAATGCAATACGTGGAGGGTTGTAGAAATTACCTTAATTAGTCAGCACTTCATGAAGCAGATTATTCCTCTAATGCCAGGGACTGATAGGTCTAGGTGTGCTTGCTGGTTAAGGCCTGAAATATCCACTGTAAATATCCATTATTGCTAAAAGAAATGAATCTTTCAGCTAAGACTAGATGAATTTTCCTGTTCTATTTATTTTAATAGCATTACGGTATTTCATATTGTTTTGCACCATTTCACAAGATACCTGCATCTTATTTTCAGGTGACTTAATTTGGTGAGCTAAGAGCTATTTTCCAATTAATCAAGATTTTGGCTATCTTGAAAGCTTTGTGGTGTTTTTTCAGCATCTTTCAATATGGCAAAATATTATTTATTTACTTTTCATATAAAATGTAGACTGCTTTTGATTTATTAATTCATCTTTATCTTGCATGTGAATTGTTAAAACCTTCTCAAAGTAGAAATATCCAATATATAAGCAAATCATTTTTATGATTTGCATAATAGTGCATTTTCTTTATTTTACTGTTAGGACCATCTTCTGGTATGGGCTTTGTCTTGGATATTTCTGGACTAAACAAAGGCCCCTGGCAGGCGTTACAAAATACGATTAATCTGTTAATCAAGACATAAATAGTAACTCTGCCACATGTTCAAGGGATTAATGGCACAATAAAATGAGATGTATAACACTTTTGTGGCTAATTTCTGTTGTGCCTTAAATTGAATGTGTGGCAGGATAACCAGAGGAGCTCAAGACTCCAGTGTGGTACTGACAGTCAGCTGATTGCTGGTCCCAGCCTTAGGACCTCACAGGAGTCTGGAATTGACTCCAGTGTGGTCTCAGGGATAGAAGCAGCAATCAGCTGATTCACAGCCCCGGGACCACACCATAGCTTTTAACTGGCCCCAGTGTGGTTTAGGGGCTGAGACCAACAGTCATCTGTCAGTCCTGGCCTTGGGACTGGTGAGGTTCATCCAGACTATGAGAACCCAGCTTTCAACTTGTAGCCAGGGCTCCCTCACACTGGCACACAGTAATGATGCCATTGAAATATGATTCCTGGTATCAGAATGTGTGTCCTGCCATGCATGTGTGGCATGACAGGTGGTGTGATTGTTGGGATCAGGGCTCAGCTCCTATCATGCCATTAAATGTGTGGGCCAGGGGCTTAATATACTTAAGTTGCTTGAAATGTGTTTGGTTTGTTTTGTTTTTTTTTATTTTAGGTCCCATAGCCAAAATTGAGGTGGAAAACTCTACACAGCATCATCATAAATGGTACTGGAATTTAATGTAATTTTTTTTTAAATGAGGAAATGTGCAATCTGTTTTCTGAATTCACTTTGAATGTGCATTTAGTGTTTCTGAAAAAGGATAGATTGACTGTCCTGATTGCTTAATTTTCAGTTGACATATAGGACAGATGAAACGTAGTGGTGGTTCTCATTGTACCATACTGCTAGTACTACTGAAGGAATGACCATTAAGGTAAAAGGGTAATATATTCTCTGTTCCTATTCTGACCTTAATCCATCTGTTTAGGCCATGTTTTTATATGGTCATCCTTGTTTTAGCATCTCTGCTAGGAAATGTTTAGAAAGATGCATTTCAGGTCAGTTAACAATCATAACGTAATAGAAATCCTGGTCACACGTGGTCTAGACTGAATTTGGGTCTTCAATCAGGATGTTAGAGCAGTGATTCTCAAAGGATGTGCTGTGGCGTACTAGTGATGTGACAGCAACAGCAGTGGGACCCAACATCCCTCTCTGAGAGGTGTAAATGCTCTCCTCCCCCATCTGGCACACGCTGTGCCTGATCTAGCTACTCCAGCTGTGCCTATGGCTGCTCCTCTGGGGACTGTAGCTGCTACTGCTGCTTTCCCCCACTGTTTCCCGCTCCCAGGCAGCGCTGTTCCCCAATCCCAGGCAGCCCCCTTCCCTTCCCTCCCGGTACTCCCAGCAGCGTGCTTCGCTGTGAGCAGGCAGACAGATGCAGAGATGCACTTTGCAGCCCAGCTTGTCTCCTCCACTTCTCCCACTCTTCTGGGGCTGTGGGGGTAGTCATTGATGTGTGGGACCCTGCAGGAGCAGTCTCAGCAGTGTTGGGACAAGCAAGATCAGGAGTGGGAAAAATATGGCCTATGGGCCATATCTGGCTGCCACTGAGGACCTGAGGAGAGAGGGCTGCGTCCCGCACTGCTCCACTGCAGCCAGGGCCGGGCCGGGCCAGGCCAGGCCACACAGCATACAGATTCCTCCACCACCCCCTACCCAGCTTCCTATTAGTGCTACGGCTGCATGGTCTTGGCATCGCAGTCTCTGGCAGCCAGGCTTACATGGAGTGGGTCGCAATTCAGTATGCCACTGCCCACCACATTTGGATAGTTTAATTCAGGGGTTGTCAACCAGGAGTATGCGTACCCCTGGGGGTACTTTGAAAAGTCCTAGAAGGGTACAGGCAGGCAGGGACGTAGCACTGTCACCCACCACCCTGTGCTGCTGCCTACCTGGAGCAGGGTGAAGGTAGTGGCGCCCCTCTGCGGGCCGTACAGGCCCTGGCTGGGCAGACAGCAGGCCATTGCCACTGCCATCCACCACCCCGCATTGCTGCCACTGCCCACCACTTCCTCATGGCTGGTCATACATGCGGCCTTGCAGGTTGCTGACAGGTAGTGCACAATTGGCCAGGTACAAGTAGAGGTGGGAGGAGGCCCTGGCTGGCGCCTGCACTGTTAAGGCCGGCGGCTCCCGCCTTCAGCGTGTGAGTGGCCAGGACACCAGGAGGGGAGGAGAAGGGCCTGCAGCATGGAACCTGCCTAGGCTGGGGTGTGTGTGGGGTCAGGCCACACCTCAGGCCACCTTGAAGCTCCTCATCTGGCTGCCAGGGGTACTCTTCTTAAAAAAGGTTGAAAACCCCTGGTCTAATTAATCTAAATTTGAAGCTAGTTTGAAGCCTCTTGCGAGGAAATGTTATGGTGCTTGGTGGATAAGTTTGATCAGATGTAGTTTGAACTGTCTGTTTTAGTGTAGATGGAGCAAGACCCTGAGGAGAATCCTAAATCTGTTAGTCTGAACCAGATTTATTTTATGAAATATTGAAGTTTTTGAAGACTCTATGCCACAAATCTGTACCTGGGACCCACATCTTTCCCAGCTGTTGAGAGCCAGTGGTTGTTATTGGCTGTAAAGTTTTCTTTGCTTAATTGCAGATTCTTTAGTGACTTTTTTCCTACCAGTTCTGAATCTGTAATTTTGGAAATTTGCCTCTCTTCTGTACGAGCTCTAAGTGCTGCTTTTCATTGTGCATTTAAAAGTATCAGGAAAGTCAGGGAGAAAGGGGGCATGCAACTTTCAGTACTGGCCACATCGTATTTTACCTTCTTGTTCAACTTTACTCATGCAGTTTAAGGATCTTTTCCAGTGTGTGATGGATAGAGGCATTGATTGCAAGTACCTGATGGGAACCCAGTACTGACATGGTTTGAGTGATGATGAGAGAGTAGCCTGAGGATTTATTTAGTCAAATTCTGAATTTTTTTATGCTTTTAAATTGAAATAATTTAACTTTTTTTTTTTTTGTATCTTAGTTTCTATCCGGAAATTAAATGGTTTCAAAAGGAAGATACCGTTACCATGAAGATAAAAATAAGAAATGTAACTGACTGTAAATGTGAGTTTTTGAGAAACAGGGTTATTTTCAGGTAGGTTCAAATTTATAATATAATTGTCAAAATAATGAAATTTACTAGATAGCATTTTGTTTTAAAAACTAACCTTTTTTCAAAAAACACAGTGCTTTTTCAGAAGACAAGTTTTATTTGGTGGATACAGAGCTGTATGAAAATATACTTACTGAAAAGTCTGTATGTGAGGTTAAGAATGAAGAACCTGTGATTATCCTTGCAAAAGAAAAGAAAGAATCATGGCTCAAGCTGCTAAAGTACAAGGTGAATTATGAATAGCAATTTGGAAAAATTTCCATTTTCAAGGTTTGAAGATATCTTTAAGTATTAAACTCACAGTAGTTTTTTATTTCTGTTAACAGAATCCTAATGTGTCTTTTGACTTTGAACATTGGGAAGATTGTGGAGATGAAAGCCCCTTTCCAGTTGGTAAGACCTAAACAAATTTTGGAGTAAGCAAACCTGTACTTTTAAGTTATTAGTAGAGAGGTAGTTAGCTATATTAGTCTGAACTCCAGGAGAAGGCAGGGCAGGGTGGTTCTTTAGGGTGTTTTTACACATGCTCGGCGGGGGTTGGTTAACTAGAGCAGCTCTTGCAGGCCGGTCTGACCAAGCTGCATCCCTATGCGCCAGCTATGGAAGCAGAAATTGGGCGGGAGGGAGACATGCCCCCTGCTGCCTGGCATGTCGCCTATGCTGTACATGCTAAACCTACTCTTGTTGGAGAGTAGGTTTAGATTAGACATCCATAAGAACTACTTCACAGTTAGGGCAGCTATCTTCATGGGAAGTGGTGCTGACTTCTACCCTGGGGCTCTTTAAGAAGAGGCTTGATGCCTGCCTGGCTGGAGTCATTTGAGACCAGTTTTTCTCCTGCCCAGGCAGGGGGTCGGACTTGAAGATCTACAAGGCCCCTTCCAACCCGACTTCTATGATTCTGTGCCCCTTCCCACACTCACTCCAGCCCCCATAGACAAAATCACCTGGACAGAGCTGCAGGATCTGCTGTCGACCACGTTGTGTGGCTGCCACGTGCATGTGTGCACATGCACGTGCATGTGATGTCCCCTGCCCCCTATATTCTACTCCCCCAAGCAGCCCCTTGGTTTTCTGGGTTTTTCTTCAGCAAACAGAAAACCTGGATCCCTGGTCATGAGAAATAATGCTGTGTTTTTATATAAGGGTCCCTTAAGTGCATATTCTAGGTGTATACAGGGCCTGCTTTCAGTCCCGAGGGAAATGTACTTTCATGCAGTATACTGTACTTTCAAATTAACTTGAAGTGCACTGATACATCGACACTGGGAGCGGGGTATAGGGGGTGGGAATTCTAGGGTGGCTGTAGCCCAGCACTTCCCCCTGGCCCCAGGAGCAACCCGGCCTCACCCTGTGCATAGATCCAGGGGGCATGTGCCCCCCATGGCTGTCCCAGGGGTGTGTGTAGCAGCAGCATCTGACTGTTCCCCCCACCCCCAGACGAGTCGTGTCTCTGTCCCACCCCGACCGGGCTGTAGGAGCCTCGATCTACCCTTTCACCCTCAACAGACTTACCAGCCAGATGCTGCTCTCCAAGTTGGCGGACTGCGTATTGGCAATCAGATTGGTATCAGCCAATATGGCTCGCTAATAATCATCCATCGGAATCTTTATCGGTGCACCCCTACAAATAACTGTGTTGAACAAACATGCTGATGTGGATTTTTAAAAGTAACTCAGGAAAGGCCTTTAGAACAGTAGAGCACCTTCAGTGACAAAAAAAGGAATAACAGTATTCGTTATCGTCATTTTTAGGCAGTTGAGGGTCATGATCTTGAGCATCTGTAACATCTTATGTCAGACTAAAAACGACGTTCTTTGATGTACTAATTAGCAAAAAATTAGAAACTGCTTGTAGATGGTTTTGAAAATTTGGTAATTCTGAGGAATCATGGTGCACTCAAAACAATGTTATGAGAGGAGTAACATACATGTCAGTGCTTTTTATAGCAAAAATCATCCAACAGGTTCTCGTGCCTTTCATTCCTCATCTTCACAACAGTAGTAGTGGTCATGGACATTTTAATAACATGTATGGTTTATTTGAACAAGCAGGCATGCAGTCATTCAACTGAACTTTGCAAGAGCATTTATATTGGGAACTGGTGTATGTATAGTATATGATCTACTTGTCTATTTACTAGTCAAGAGAAGGAAAACAATCTTGTTGAGCAGTTAGCAGAAATGCAGCACAAGTGCATGTCACTTGAAGGTGTTGGCAGTTGCATAGAATTTTCACATTCTGAGGGTATCTAGCTGTAAACTTGATTTGTATTAGAGCCAGGTCCCTTTGTCCATGTTCTGTCTGTTCAAGTATAATATTAATTGCTATTTCATTTCTGATAACACATTTCCTTTTCTGTTGAGCACCAAAAATGTTTATTCATACACCTCATTTTCCAAAACCAGATTAGTTTCAGTTCATATAAACTGATGGAAAGAAATTAGGCTGCCTTCAATTTTGACTATCAGGATGCTTAACATACCACCAGGGCTATACACATTTTCTTGCATTGATTTCCTGTTCTGCTGCAGCATGAGATTTTGTTTTTAAACAGACTGGTCAGTGCATTTTCACTTATACAAAATGTTTTAAATCATAACTTTAGAATTTTCTCGTTTTACTATATAATTTTATTATAATGGCTTTTATTTGTTGCTTGTAGGTGCTGAAAAATTACATCATCCTGCTACACTAGCAATGGAAGAAATGGAGGAATCCTCGGACAGTGAAACAGAAAGTGGTGACTAACCTGCAGAATCAATCTTTGTCAGTCCCTTTTCTTTCAACCCACAGTGGGTAGACACACCTGCATTTGAACCACTTTCAAAAGGACAGCAGCTGTTATGTTTCAATACAGGGGTGGGCCACTTAAGGAGTTTTGGTGAGCGCTTGAGGTGCAGGGGTAGGGAGGGGCTGACCCAGCTGCAATGCCCTGTCACAGCTGTTCACACTACCCAGTGTGGGGTGTGGCCTGGGAAGATGCCAGTTTATCCTATCTGTCCCAGGCCTGTCTGCCCTGCACCCACCACCGGGAGTGCCAGATACAGCAGGTGGCCAGGGGCTCCACGGAGATCAACCCAGGACCCCTGTGGGCAGGGTACACTCCGTCAGGCGGATGGGATGAAGTCACAGGGGGGCAGGAAGCAGGACAGGCGGACGGGCAGGACTGGGATCACAGGGTGGTAACAACGTGGGGCTGCAGCCCTGGGCATAACTGCAATCCATTTCTTGCCATCCCACCTCCAGCCCTGTCCAACCTGCTTCTGCATACAGCTCCCTGGCTGCCCATGGCCCCATTACATCCACTTGGCTAAGTGTGCCCTGCCCACAGGGTTCCCGGGCACATTTCCATGAAGATCTTGGCCAGTCCATTGGGTGCTCCTGGTGATGGGTATGGGGCAGACAGTCTGGACATTGGGGCTGGGATCTGGTGGCAGTGGTGGGGCACGTGCCTGCTTCAGGGTGGTGGGAGCTGTTTGGAAGCCCTGTCTAGCCACTGTGTCGCCTCACAACACCCACCCTGCCTTGCAGACTACGGACCCCAGTGTGCCAGAGAACCGCACGCAGGGGCAGGGTGGGTTGCATCCAGTGGCACCTCCATGCCCAGGGGCAGCAGGACTGGCCAAATGCACCATGCCCCCTGCGCCTGGGCCAGGGAGGGACAATGGACCCACCATGCCATATTTTGCTCACCCCTGTTCTAATAGTTGCATGTGGAAAACCATGGGAAGGATACAAATATAGCAGAACCACTCCAGCTGTAACAGCTTCATTTCAGGGTTAAGTAGAAGTGGCTTTGCTTTCCTACTTTGTATTGTTACTTTGTGGATAAGTTAGAAACAATTGCATAGGAACAGCTGCAGACCTTTTGAAATGGATCCAATATTTACATGTGTCTATATCCAGTGATGATTAAGGATGGTCTTGCAGTCTTTATCTGTATAAGAATTTTACTAATTTTGGTGGAACTATTTGCATATAATTAAGGACTACAGAATCAAGTCCTTAATTTTTACGAGGATGGCAATGAACCAGACACTCCATTGTATTTAAATATGTTGGCTAATTTTGACTACCTGGATTTGAAGAAATAAAGTGCTGTAGAAGAAAAGTGGTTATATTCCTTCTGATATATGTATACTTTTTCTTAATTTGTTTTAAAAGAGGGGTGTCAAATACATGGCCTGTATCTGGCCCTTGGCACCATCCTGTTTAGCTGTCTATCAGCAGGACACTAGAAGCAGAAGGCATGCAGTTACAAGGCCAGCAGAGCACATGGCTGCCACCAGATAGTGGCAGATGTAACAGAAGACGCAGCAGCAGCTCCAACTACTGCCACTGGAGCTGGAGCACATGGTGCGCACTTCAGCACAAGGCATGTAATTGCAGCAGTTTTGGCTTTGACATGGGACATGTGGCAGGCAGGAACTGGAGCCACTGTCTTATGCTTTGCTGCCTTTGCCATTTTGTGCTCTGCTGCTGTTATCATGCTCTGCTGCCCCTGCTATCAGTACATACTTTGATGTTGCCGCACTGGTTCCTTGTGCCGGCCCGGGTTGGATCTGTTCTTAGGCATAAGGTGAGTTTGACATCCATGCTTTTAAAATAACTGTATATTTTTGTTAATCTACAGTAAACTTAGGTCATTTGAGTAATAAAAGTCTAATTTGAAGCGGGGGGTACGTAATTGCTTAGTCTCCAAGTATAAACATACTCCTGTCACCACTAGATCAGTAATTCATATTTCTCTTGGCTCCCTCCCTTCTCCCCCTGCCCTTCTAGGAGACAGCTTTTCACTCACTGGCTCTTTTCTGGCTTTTTGAACATAGCTGGTTCCCTGTGCTTTTTTATGGGGAACTGACTAGTTCATGGAAGACTGCCAATTACATGATTTGTGTGAAATCCTTGAAATTGTGTATTTGGTAGGTTCCTAGACATTGAGTAATATCAAATGTACTTGAAACTAGAAGGGAATGTTAGCTGGGCAGTGTTTTGTTATCTAGACAGAATGAAATTATCCAGTTGGAATTATTCCTGAAAAATTCTGCTACTTCAAGAGCCAAGAGATTTGTGCTATTAATACATTTATCTTAGTACACAAATAGCCTACTTTTATGGGGTAAAGTGTAGTAAAATATAAACTGATTACAAGCTTTCTTTACTTATTTATCCCTGCTATGGGGACAGGCTAGAACAGCAGTGCTGGCTCCGCGCGACTGCTAAAGGGCCAGGCTGGAGCAGGGACGGAGCCGACTCAGAGCAAAAGTAAGGGGGTCTGGGAGGGGAGAGGAAGAAAGGGTGGGGACCTGAGGCTGCAGATAGTAGCATGAAGAGGAGAAGAGAGGAGGAGAAATGGGAGGGGGGAATCAGGTCAGCCTGAGGCTGCAAGGGGTGGGTAGGCAACAGGGCAGAAGCTGCCTGCCTCTTCCTGCCTGCCCCCCTACCACCTGACGTCCACTGCCTGCCTCGTTTCTGCACCCCCCGCCTTCCCTACCACATGCCCCTGCTACTGCCTGTCCCCCCACTGTACCCTACTGCTGTCCTCATCACCTCCCCCACACCACCTGCGGTAGTGGTAGGCACATTTAGATGATCCTCTCCGCCAAAAATTAATTCCATACATGGAAAACTAGAATTTACAACTTTATAATAATTTATAAAAATGTATAAATCTTTAGAATCTAATTGTTGGGGTGGGGGAGTTGTCTTACGTTCAGGGTCATCTTGTATTCGAGTAAATATAGTATTTTGTTTTCCATTTCCAGTTATGACTCTGCACAAAGTTTCATACTACTATAAGATGAATGTTTAAGCAAAGTACTGGAATCAGTAGTACCTGCATTTTTACATGCAGTTGAATCAAAATGTTGTTTATTTCTCTTTGTTCATTTATTATTTTCTTTATTCAGTTCTTGATTATTATCTGTTCCAAGAAGCTGTTTAACAATAAATGTATTACTTGAACCCAGATGCTGTGTGCAGACCATTGGGCTGGAGGGCCACATAAGAAGTTTGGTATGCTCTTGAGGGTGGGGGGGCGGGGGCAGGGTGCTGACCTGGCCTTGGTCCCCTGTCACAGCTGTTTTACATTGCACAGCAGGGGCTGAGGGGAGATGGCCTGGAGAGATGCCAGTTTATTTTCTGGCCCCAGGGGCCCCGGGCCTGCCTGCCCCACATTCACCACCAATTGTGTCAGATGAAGCAAGTAGGTGGTATCTCCATGGAGACTGGCCTGGGACCCCTGTGGGCAGGGTCTTCTTGGCCAGGCAGATGGGATGGGGCTGCAGGCTGGCAGGGAGCAGCATCTGGGAGGTCATGGGGCTGGGGCCTGGGGCAGAGTTGCAATCTGCACCCTGCACATGAACGACTCATGCCCCTGGCGGGTGGGGAGGCACAGCGGCAGTGGGAGCCCGGTGGTGGTAAGCAGGGGAGCTGTTAGCACTGTCAACAGCTGGGGGAGTAGGGTGGTGAGTGCCAACCAAGGGTCACTGACCACCCATAGCATCAGTGGTGGCCAGCAGGGATTGCTGACTGTCTGCAAACCCAGCGGCGGGGTGATGAGCAGCAACTGTCCACAGGTGCTGCTAACACTGTTGCCTTTCTATAGGCAGTGCACTACCATACTCAGGGAGTGCATGTGCACCCCTACACATCGCCCCTGACCTTGCACATCTCTGTGGTGGTCCTTGGCCCTGTGCTGCCAGTTCCCTGTGATCCTGGCCCTGTCCTGCAGCCCCATTCCATTTGCGCAGCCAAGCATGCCCTGCCTGGAGGAGTATGTGACGGGGCCATCCCCAGTCAAGCTCGGCATAAGCCCACCCACCTGTCTAGGGTAGTCTGCCCTGTCTTCTGCCACACCTTTGCTGTTACACTGTTACATAAAGTTTGACGTTCATCTAAGCTGGAGTCTGTCCATTCTAAACCCTGATGCCCAGGGCAAAATTCATGGCTCCAACCTTCCATTTACCATGTCCAATGCCTCACAAATAGCATCCATATCCACTATTGCTCCCCAGCCCCTTTCAGGGACAGCCTCCGTCTCTGGCCCAACTTCAGCCTCCGGCACGACTCTGTATACCTTGGCTCCTCCTGCACCTACGCTTTTCTTGCTTAGGACCTACTCTGTGCAGTCCTTCGGGCCACTCTGTTCTGCTTGAGCCCCTCTCTACACAGCCCTTCAGACCATCTCTGCTCACTGTGTTCACTCTGCCCCATCTCTGTACCACACGCTTACTCTCTGGGCCTTTTGCCTCTTGGGCCTCAGGTGCTACTCAGTGGGCCTGGTTCCCGTTTCAGGCCCCACTCCATAAGCCTGGGCCCTAATCTTTTCTGCAGGAGTGTGCTACCCTAGTCTTTCCCCTCCATGGAGTACCCACAAGGTAGCAGGGGCTGAGGCTTTATAGTACCCCATCCTTGCCTGTCACTGGGGAGGCACAGCTGTGGCATTTCCTGGAGACTGCCCTGCCACAGGCAGCCTCACCACACCATCCAGCCCCAGCAAAGTGTCTTACCCAGGACCACTGCAGGCCTTCCTACCCTGGTCTTACTTCTTTCTCTGGGCTTCTTGATGTTCTTCCTGGGCACTCTGTTCCAGCCTTCACTTTACAACATAACCCTCAGTTGCTCACTTGAGCCTGGCCCCTCTCTGGCTAGTTGGGACCCCAGACTTCTGGTACTGGAGCCCCTTACAGTAGGCATACTTACCCTTTGGCCACTCTGGGTAAGCTTGGGCCAGTTGAGAGCCCTGGATCAATCTACAAACAGCTGACTCTCTCACTTGATAGGGGTCCACCCTTGGGCCAGTTGCCATAAGTCAGTTGTCTCGCACTGGGCTTTCTTGGAGCCCCACAGATCTTGTACAAAGCAAACCTTTATTTCACTGGGCTCATCTGAGCTCCTCCACAGACCCCTCCAGGGTCAGTCTCACTCCCTGGGTTTCCCCAGGTTTTTCCTTCGTCACCCATGGTCTCAGCAGTTCTACTCGGGGGCTTACCTAGCCCCTCTGTAGGCCCACAACCTGTAAGCCCATTCTGCTTGTGCTGACCTGTGTTTTCTCTAGACCCTTGTATACCAAGCCTCTCTCAATAGGCCATCCTGGCCTCTCTCTAGGTCTCTGTATACAT